ACACACAAAAAAAATCATAAAAAAAGATGGGGAGATTGCTTGGCAAAGAGAAGATGTTCATGTATGGAGAAGAAAGCGGTAGGAAGTATGAAGTAGATGACATTATGTCTGGATACAACCTCAGAATCCTTTTCAATAAAGTGTTCCAGATAGCTACTACTTACTGATTGGAGTTGAAACCCTTTTGGCCTAGATACTATTCTGTGAAACTAAAAATTGTCATTTGTTGACTTCCCTTTCTTCCATGCTACAATAAAATGTAAGTGCATACACTCTGTATGACTCACAAACTGAATTCAATGTGGAAAGTATAATGCAACTAGTCCCTTAGAGTTACTGGGAAAACATGGTCTCCATAATTACATAGAGACATGGTGTCTCTAATTTTAGGAAGCAGTCATGGAGTATGTCCCTAAAGCAAGATTTCTTGTCTCTCTGTCTTTGTTCATCCTCTATTGCATATTTATTTCAAATTAAAAACCTGGGAAATGTGGTCTTTGCCTTTTATACATTCTTGGAGAATTGATGCCTTGTTTAAGAGACCATCCATTTTCTTACCGTGTAGGATTTAACATGTGCTTTCATGAAAGTGCACGTTGCTAAAGAGTATTTTTACATTGGTCAATTCAAATTAGTATGCCAGGAGCCTTGTTACCACACACTAACCATGTAGTTTTCCTCAGCTAGGATGTTGAAATGCCATGTTTCTTCCCCCAAATAAAAACTAATTTGATTTGAAATGATTTTAAATCAGCAGTGGTTTGAAAGTAAACTTAGGTGACTAAATTAAAACTTAGGTGACTTAAATTATTTGCTCCAGTCCAAATATACAAATGTTTTCCTATGCAAGAAAGTATTAAGATTTTTCCAAGTGTATTTTTTTGTGTGTAGATTGTATTCATGAAACTTGATTTATGTTAGGCCTGAATTTAAGTTCAAGCTATAAAGTTATTTTTGAATAATTTCAGGTGTGCCCTGCTTTAAGAAAACAATTTTGAAAAATCAAACTTATAAATCAGGGTGAGGGTGGTTAATATTTTTTTGAAAGGATTTAGGTTAATCTTTTACTTTAAACTACTTCCATGAATTTAATGGATGGCATTTTAATTGGTGTTTCAAAGATAGCTTAGGCAAGTAAGTTAACCTCAGTTTCTTCATCTGTAAAAAAGAGATCGTAGGATGATACTATCTACGTCATAGGGTAAACCAGCTGCTACACTTTACTAAGGCCACACCAGGCAGCATTTCTATTATATGACTTACTAAGAAGGTATCCATGAGGCAGCTCAAACACCACCTCCTCGGCAAAGCACATCCAGTTCTTTCCTAGCCAAAAGGATTTGCTCTCCTTCTCTAGGTTCCCCTAACTCTTAGGCAAATGCTCATCTACAAGAGCTAGACACATGTTTTATTTGTATTTTTGTTCTTTAATCTTACTGCCTTTCTTCTCCCTCTTTCTCGTCTTTCCTCCCCTTCTTAGAAAAGAAACTAATGTGGTACTTGGCACTTGGCAGGCATGCTAGGATCTTACATCTGAACAAAATAAACAAACGGATCTTTGGAAAGTCTCTTCTTTATTACGTTTTGGAAAATTGGGCTCAGCCATTTTGTCTAGGGTCTGTTTTGTATGAGTACAAGCAGTATCAGCTAGCTGCTGCTTCTGAAGTTGCAAGCTACTTAGTTTTGACCCTATGATCTGTAGTTATCCTTGTCTTAAGTTATTATTATTATATTGGTGCATTTAATCAGACCTTTAAAAATATTGTTTTTTGTGTGTTGTGAGCTTCTGTAATAGAGATTGGTCTCTATAAAAAGATAATCCTCAAGGCATTTATTTAAAAATTGCATTTTTCTTTCCTATTGAGAATTGCCTGGGATTCTAAAATAATTTACTTTTAATTTAGATACATCAAATGGCGGAAGACAGTCATTTATTTTTGTTGATATGGCTTCCTTTGTGAATCTAATGTATAAACTTATTTGATTTTCAATAAAACTCCCAAAAGCTTTTTTAAAGCACAATTTTCCTCAACTTTCTTTTCAAAAAAAGCTGATTTTAACATGTGGCTGACAGTAAGGCAGTCAAAAGAGAAAATGGAGTTTATTGCTTTTTATATAAACCTAAGGAACCTTTATGTTTAAAACTTAAATTTGAATCACAAGCTAGATTTAATCTCTTCTGTAGCTTGGTTCTAATCAATAGGAGTTTGAACTCTTATCATTTGTACATAGCCCTGTTGATCTCTTTCCTTCCTCCAGCACACATTTTTTTCATATGTGTGTTTGTTATTTGTCTTGTATCTTTTCTTGTATTTTCTCTTTATTTGATTCACTTTTTGAATCCAAGTATGTAAGGCTGTCCACACTACTGTCTATCCTATGCTGTCTGACACAATAGCCACCAGCCGCATGTGGTTGGTTATTCAGCACTTGAAAATGAGGCTTGTCTGAATTGACGCGTGCTATAAATGTACAGTACACACCGCATTTTGAAGACTTGGTAGAAAAAAAGAATGTAAAATTGTTCATTAATAATGTTTATGTTAATTGCATGTTGCAACTAGAATATTTTGTATTATATCTTGTGCCCAGTTTATTGGAGTTCTTCAGTGGGGAGGAGAAGTTACTGACAGGTAAAGTCTTTCCTTGAGACAATGAGGGTATTGCTGCTATCCTTTCTCACTTCGGGAGCATTGAGTCTTGGGTTGTTCCTGGCTTTGAAGTTACTGGCTAGAGGGCTTAAAATGTAAACCAGTATTTTTGCATTACTTGCTTTTTTTTAACTTGTATCACTTTTAAATTCTGTTATATTTACATTATGGCAGTGGGATTAGCTTTGACTTGCATATACTCAGATGCATAAAGGGGCCAGGCAACTAACAAATGAATGAATCCATCCTATGTTAGACAATATGGAGTGATATATGTCCTGTGCAACAGGTGTATGTTCTCTCTGGATGGTAAGGTAACCCTTATTCCTGTTCAGTTGATTATTGCTTTATGGGAATATATGTTGCCAGATCTTTTAGGTTTTTAAGAGGAGCCAAAAATCTGGATTTTTAAGGATCTGAAACCTCCCAATTTTTAAATACTGACAAATAATGCAAAATTTAAAAATATTTATGCAGATCAAATCAACTTTAGCTTTGGTCTGAATGGTACTGCTTTGTAACTTTGACTTAAGGTACTTTAGATGACATTCTTAAAGTATACCTGTTAAGAAGAGAGGCTTACAATCACCTCTGGATGAATAGTTTTAAAATTTCACACCTTTTAGAGAATATAGTGGATAATTGTGAAATGGTATGTTACAGTTTCTGTGTATTTTTTGAATATGTATTTCTAGTATACTTTTGTTTTCTATAGTGATTTTTTCTGCTCTTTATTCTCTTATTTACTTTTCTGTTGCTCATTTTAATGTGAATTTATTTTCCCTGAAGATTTAGGAGAAAGCTCATGTCAGATTGCTTTTCTAACCTCATAAAACTCCCTTTTCTGGTTTGTGTGTGTGTGTGTGTACTGTTCAGAGATATGGTGGGTTGCTTTCTGAGATTTTCTAGCTCAGGTCCCTTCCCCCTGCTTTTATCTGGACCTACTCTTTCCTTTGTCTCTGCTGTCCCTTTCCTGCTCAGTCTTGACACCACTCCCAGCAGTTTCTTCCTAGTGTGGCATTTGTCGAGGAATGGAGCCTTGGAGAGGCTGTTTGGAGAGTTCACAGGGGCTAGATTTCTCCAGCCCCAGGAGAAGCCTAGTAGAAGTCCTTCATGGCACTCACCAAATATTAGAATGGGCTAAGCCTTTTCCACTTTCAGCTGCTATCTCAAATTGGCCCACAGCACTTTCCAGTGAATACCTGATGGCTGCTTGGGATTCTCCTTTTTCCAAATTTCTCACGTGCTTTGTGGCTTCCTTATGTTTTCTTCCATACTGATACTGATAATATGCAGGTCTTGAGGCTATTGGTGATTCATGAAGAATGCTTTTCCACATAGTTATGTTGTAAATTTTTCACTTGAGTTTTGGATCTGCCGTCTGTTTTCTTCATCTGCTTTTATGTGGGGAATAAGGAAGGTTCAAAAACTCCTGCAAATGCTCCTGTCCTCCCAGAAAATCCAGATGCTCCAACTTTGTAACCTAATGTGTGGGTGGCAGCAAGAAGTCAGATGGTTAATTGTGTTTGAATAGGTTTACAAATTATGTTTAAGAACAATAGGCATATTCCTTCTATAAAAGTTGGGAAAAGGCCAAGCATTCATTTGCTGCTGCTTATATTAAAAAAAAAGTCTTTACCAGAAAAACAATCATAGAAAACTTGAAAAAAAAAAAAAAAAGGAGGAGGAGACTTAGCTCTTGGTGTTGAAAGCTGTTGTGTTTCTGGCAGTGTATAAACTCCACTCCCAACCACAGACACAGTGTATCAGCCAGAACAGTTTGCATCTCTCCCCTTTTGTGGTTCTATTCCGAATTTGGTGCCCAAATCAGGTCTTCTAAAACATTGAAGGATTACATGAATTAGCATTCATTGTTCAGACTTGGTTTTAACCAAGAAATTTACTGAATATCGCTTGTCCTTATTCCCTAGATATAGGTAAAATAACATTGGAAGTTCAGTCAGAAGAGCTCCATGGAGTAATCAATATTTACTAGGAGCCAGTTTGCTCAGTTTCATTCATAGAAAAGCAGTACAGTTTTGAAATACATATCTGCTTCAAGTTCCTTAATCTGCAAGTAAAGACTCTACTCTCTTTTTAAACTTAAAGAATAATGTGTATGGACATTGTTTTAGAAGGATTTGCAATTCTACAGTGATCTTGATGTTTGGAACTTAACTTTTAGTATAAAAAGTTCAGTTCTCTGCCACACAGAATTTCAACCATGTTGTTGAGTTATGTATGTAAAGTTAAAAAAAGATTAGAAAGTTGTATTCTACTTCTAAGTGTGGATATTGTGTGCTATGATATGAGTATATATACATATCTTTTCTCCATTTCTCTTTTAAGGTCTCAGCCAGTTTCCTCCCCAGTCATCCTTCAGTTTGGTCATGCAGAGACACTTCTTCCACTGCTTTCTCTCATGGGCTACTTCAAAGACAAGGAGCCCCTAACAGCTTACAATTATAAGGAACAAATGCATCGGAAGTTCCGAAGCGGTCACATTGTACCCTATGCCTCGAACCTAATATTTGTGCTTTACCATTGTAAAAATGCTAAGAATCCTAAAGAAGAATTCCAAGTGCAGATGTTATTGAATGAAAAGGTGTTACCATTGGCTCACTCACAAGAAACTGTTTCTTTGTATGAGGATCTGAAGAACCACTATAAGGACATCCTTCAGAATTGTCATACCAGTAAAGAATGTGAATTACCAAAGGTGAACAACACATCTGATGAGCTGTAATAACTGGAGAACATTTTTAATTCATCTAGAATCTATAGGGAGTGATTATTCCTATGCTTGGAATAGGTGGGCAGTCCCTCGTTATCACATTATTTGGGTATTTCTGTCTTTTCACAGAAAAATGTTCTTTCTTTTTGAGTCTGGACATGGATGTATAAAAAAAGATTCTTCACTGGAGCAGCTCGCTTGAGGGGAAAAAAATCTTTTCAAAGAAATAGCTGGCACTGCAAATGTTTACAGAAATTGTATTCCCCCTATTTATCTAAGAAATCTCACACTGAGATAGAATATGATTTCAAAATGATACTTGAAAATGCTAGAGTAACAAAATAGCATGTGAGTTGGCCGATCCGTACCTGACGGAACTGAGTCTAGGAAGACCAGGTGTGCGGCAGTTCTGTTCTCCTCAGGTAGCACGGTTCTAGTTTTGTCTTTTTTAATCAGAAATGTTGTGATGGACTAGGAGTATCACTTTGGAAGAAAGCTAACATCTCTCTAGTTGAGAATTGGAAACAATGTTAAGAAACAGTCTGATTTAAAAGGACACCTTCACTGAAGGAAGACAAAAAGTCTAATAAAATAAATATTTTTGTTAATAGTATTTATAAAGTATTTGAACACTTTTTCAATAATTCCTTTTAACCTCCTAGTGAGTCTTGCAAGGCCATTCTTTAGTTATTATCATACCTGTTTTATGGAAGACAGAGGACCATTAGCAACAAGTCAGATGGATAGAATTAAAGTTTCTTAAATCCATTGCTGAGCAATTTTTTCCATTGTCTCACTTTGCTTTTATTTTTATATTTTGCTTTTGTGAAATGTATCTTTTGGTTGTTTAATTTCTTTTCTCTTTTTTTTAAAAAAAAAAAAATAAAGTCTTCATCCTGGCTGGCTTAGTTTCACAGATATGAACCCATTTCAAAGAAATAGTTCTGAGTTCTGTCAAATGCCGTGAAAGTATTTGCTATAATAATAAACAGAATTCTTGTGACTTTACCAGGTCTTTTCTGCTTTCTGTGTTAATAGGCAATCATTAATTGACGGTAAAAAGTTTGAATTTCAAGCATCTTTGACTAAATCAGTCAATATAAGGCAATTTTCTTCTAATAGACATTTCCTCAAATAAATTTTCTCTTCGTAAAGAAAAATGGAAATCTGTTTTATTAAAAATCTAAATAAGAAGGATCATAATTTATATAGTGAAATTATAAAAGAAGATGCATAGATCATTGATCTTCAAATGAATGATGTTTATAAAATAGATGATGAGCTGGTAAATACTGCTGATGCATCAATACACTGCTGATTGTTCCTGCCAAGGTCTGGTATTATCTTTTTTTAATTTGTAAATAAGCAGACAAGAAGAGAATAATATAATGAGCATTCATGCCCATCATTCTGTTTTATCAAAATTAACATTGTAACATTGAGTTTGGATCCAAATAAGAACAGTTGGGGACTTTCGTATGCCTCCCTGATGCTATTGCCCTCACTCCCTGCCTGGAGGTAACCACCAGCATAAAATTCAGTATTCTCCATTCCATTGCATGCTTGACTCTGGAAACTTGTAGTAGTGTTGTGGGAATTTTAAAATTTTCTATAAAAAGACTTATACTGTGCATATCATTTTTGAATGAGTGATTTATTTTAACGGCTGCATTTGTTTTTCAAGACTTTTTCTGGTCCTGATCATTTGTCTCAAATTACTACCGTGAATTCATTAATACCTATTGAGTACTTTTTATGTACAAACACTAGACTCAGTCTATGAGCATATAAATTTGAATGAACCTATTTCTTTCAAGAAGTTATCTTAAAAGACCTTGAAACAAATTTACTTGGTGTATGACACATTAAATAATTTTTGATTCATAAGCTTTTAATAGACTATGAAAGTTTTATAGGAATTCTTTAATTTCATTGTTAAATAGAACGATATAGTCATCTTTGTAGTCTTTGGTATGTAAAATATTTCAGGCTGGAAGACAAGTGTGGTCCATTTTTGTTAATGTTACAGAGGTTGTGATATTATTTTGGTGCTATTATTCTTATTTAGGAAATGCCAAAAATTGAAGAATCTCATGATGAAAAACTAAAGGTCTTTATAGGAATAGAATATATAAAAAGTTGAACATCAAAAAATAATCTTTGGCTAACAAGAGTTCATTCATAGTAGGTGACCAGATTACTCAGTTAAGCCAAAATTTAATCACTATTGCTTCTAACATTTTGGTTGATTAATAAATAGCCTATGAACATTAGCCATTTTTCTGTCTAATCTGCAACTTGATGTGTACAGTGCATTGTACTGTTTTTTATAGTCATGTTATCATTTTGAAGTTTCTGCTCTCAAACACTTAATCATTCATTTGATACTGTTTTTGTGTATAATTTTTATCTTAATTTTAACACTGAAAGCAAAACTCAACCTGTAAAGAAAAAGGAGCTTCATTTTTTCTAGGCATAGTCAACTTTTATGATATCTTTACTTGAGTGCTTTCCTTTTGTAAACTGCAGAACTGATGCATGCTTAAGTATTTGAGTTACACACAACCAAACCAGAATAGATAAGTGTAAATTTTTGGAATATTCTCCAAGATGCTATTCCGTGTAGTTCATTAATGATCCTTGGAATTCGGACTGTCTTCTACCAAATGTAAGCTGAAAATAAATATTTGCATTACCATATACTTTGCCTGTATCTAGCTCTTCTCCTGAACTCATTTCACAGATCACTCAGTTCTATCCTAACCATTCTTTTGCTCTCAGGCATTTGCTTCCACTCACCTGCAGCTCAATCCACTCTTGAGCACCTTCACACCCATCTATTGAGCTATTTTTTTAGTGACGTGTGTGTGTAGTAGTATTTTTGAGAAAATTCTACAGCAAGAGGAAAGATGTTGTGTTCTTCCAGTAAAAAGATACGTAGTTTGAGCTTTATACCTGGCAACTTGGGAGGTTAACTTTTAAAACTTTAACTACGTTATCATTACTGAAGTAATACATTTTAAGATAGAAGATTTCTTAATTTTATTATTTCTGCAACTTCAGAAATAATTCAACGTCTTCCATGTACTATTCCTAGATTTTAAACCATTATTTAGACCCAAGCGGTTCATGTTCACACTTTTGTTTGTTGTACTGGAAGAACAAATATTTGTTCTTTTAATGATAGCTCTCCAAACTGAGTAATCCTCCTAGTATAATGAGAAAGTTTCATTAGAATATTTATTTTACATTATTTCTGAAATAGCTAATATGCAAAATTAAGTTGGGATGAAAATCTGTAGATTCTGTCTGCTTTTTTCATTAGAGTCCATCCTACCAACCTTGGTTCTGATTACTTTTTGACAGAACTTTAACAATTTGGGTGCTTTCGGAAAGGTTTTCAACAAATATTGTCATTCTGGAAAAAAAATCCAGTTTTAATGTAAATTATATAAATATATACTGGTGAAGTATATCTTTGGATACCTACAGATGAGAAAATTCCATTTAATTGATAAGAAGTGTTCTTAACTGGAGATAAGAAGAACACTAATTTTGCTCTAGCCATAGTTGCTCTTCCTTTGAGAGACCGTTAGTTTCTTTTCCTTACAGTTTTTTTCTCTTTCCGTGCCTTCCTGAGAGAGTGAGGAGACTAGTCTTGGTGAGATGAGTTAGTGCTTTTCTTCTTCTGTCTGCAGCGCGGCACCCTGAAACTTTTGTCACGCTTTGCATTATGGAGATAGGATAAGAGCCTGGTTTTCTAATTTGACTCTTAGGTAGTTCGTTTTATAGTCTCCTTAATCCACCAAGTGTTATCCATGGAAGGAAAAAACTGAAGAGTCTGAGGAGAGAGATTGAGATCTTGGGGCAGAAGGTTGAAAAAATGAGATGGAAACAATCCTCTGCCTTTTCCTTGCTGAGAGAGAAACAATACATGAAACTCCCAGATGTAGACAGGGAATCAGAAGTAGCTGGGGTTCTACGTCCATTTTAGTCTAGTTACAAGATTTCAGATCTTCCTAGTTAGTGAAATGGGGTAGAGCAGCCAGCAGTATGGCATTTTATCAAACAGGTGTTCCTAATTTTTGCCTCAGTCATCTGCTGGAAGTAGAAGGTTAAGTAATACTTGCTTTTCGAGTCTAGCTGCTACAGCCTAGCTCTTGGAAAAATAGAAGCATGGCTAGAAGACTTTCCTCCAATCCATGGGCCTATATAAGCTTCAAAGAACTGTTTTAGCAGGTCTAAAAACTCTGTGGGTTTTCTTGGTGAGGAAGATTGTTGCCGAGCTGACATCTGTGGCAATCTTCCTCTATTTTTTGTATGTGGGATGCCGCCACAGTGTGGCTTGACAAGTGGTGTATCGGTCCGCACCTGGCAGCCGAACCCGTGAACCCTGGGCTGCTGAAGCAGAATTCGCAAACCTAACCACTCCACAACAGTGCCAGCCCCTAAAAACTCTGGTTACTAAGTATTTTATAAACGTTGTAGATATGGGTACATGTATTTGTTAATGTTGGCCCAAACACAAATGTGTAAAGTCTAGTCTTAAGAGAAAAATCATCTCATGCAAGAGAGCCATAATATAACAAAATGTTTTATAATTCTCGGTTCTCAGCAATGTACCTGATATTAACTAGGTCATCTATAAAATAAATCGTGTGTGAAATAGTAGTTGCCATTGAGTAAGGGAAATATCTACACCTGGCAAGTACTGTAGAAAGTACTTTACCTGTTATTCCACTTAATCTTCTTTATAGACTATGAAGTTGGTAGTATGAAACTCATTTTGCAGATGAAGAAATTGAAGTTGAGAATGCAAATGCATTTTTTTTACCCTTTAAACTGTATTCAAATTTGTTACAGTTTTATCAGTGATAAAAGTGGAATTTGGACCTAGTTCATTTGGTGCACTTTGGTGTACAGATTGATTGAGTAATGCACACTGGTCGTAAACTACTGAAATCTCTTGATTCTGCTCACCACTGCAATACAAATGCTTTTCAAGATGCTGCCACCCTTTGTCCTTCCCTGTAGCCATTGACTAAGTCCTGGGGCCAAAAAGTTGTACACTTAACAGGGAATGGAAGGGGGAGAAAAATGTAATCAGAGCCTCGGATATGACCTTCTCCAAGCCAAATCAGTTCCTTCTATCTTCTCAGGCTCAGCTGACTGCACCTGGTGTAGAAGGCTTTCTGCGTTAACCAGGAGGGTGGGACAGGTTAATGGATTATTGTATTAGAAACCATATCTTAGAATTCTCTTTGTAGTATTTCAAAGCAAAGTATAATTCAGACTTTGTTGGAGGTTCTAGATTGTTTGAATTCCCAGAATAATGGGAACTATAGTTACATTGTGTACTTAGTGTCCCTTCCATTGTTTCATTCAGTGAAGCAGCTACTATGTCAGCCCTCATAGCCTCACTCCCGTAACTCACCTGTCAAGTCCATAAAGCAGGCTCGCTGAGCACACAGGGGCAATGGCACCTGGCAGATGCTTTACCAGATATCCATGATGCAAAATTCTAAGGGGGATGAAAATAACAAGAATTTGATGCAAGTTGCATATATTACACCATGTCAACAATCTCTACCCCACTCCATCGTATAAATTGAGTGTGTCACTTTAATCCTCACTGCAACAACAATGGGTGTTACATCAAACACCACATGACCACCCAATTGTTTTAAGTCAGTAGAATCTTGTTACAGACATTGCTAGAAAATATTTCCCAGTCTGGGGACATGAAGATAAAACTTGATCTCCCAGTGATGACTTTACCACTTAAACTATGGCCTGCAGACCAGCAGCATTAGCATAACCTGGGAGCTTGTGCACTGATATGTGGGATTTTCCTGTATATCTACTGCTGATTCATTTTCCTGAATCTCGCTTGGGGTGGTGGGGCATGGGAGATGGGAATTGGTCAGAGGGCTGTTCCTTGCCCTTTCTGAGATTTCCTGATTCAGTTCCTGTAGCTTTTTGTCTGGACCTTCTCTTTTCTTTACCCTTTTTTGTCCCTGTCTATTTAATATAGATTTTCATTCCTAGGAGAGTCTCCTCAAAGTGGGGCTATGTTCTAGAAGGGAGCTTCAGCTGGTGAGGTTTGAGAGTTCATAGGGCCCCCTCAAGTCCTTTCAGAGCTTAAGGTAACTCCTTGCACAACAACGTTTTGGCTGCTGTTGTGTATTGGCCCTCTGTTTTTCCACTGAGTACCTGTGGATGACTTGGGGTTCCTCCATTCCATCAGTCACCCTATTCCTTTCCTCTGCTTCTTCCCACAAAGATGATATTTATGGTATGGGCCTTGTAGCTATCCGTGGTTTGTCCTCACCCTCTCAGTCTGGGGAAATTGGGGAATACTTCATCAACTTGTGTTGTAGATGTTGTCTATGATTTTTGGTTTTATATTTTTCTTGCTCCATTTTTATGGGAGGTGATGGGTTACGGAAAGTTAAAAAATCATGCCGTCGCTGTTGTCATCTCAGATTCTCCTTTTTAAGTCTTTTTTTTTTTTTTTTTTAAGGATTGGCACCTGGGCTAACAACTGTTGCCAATCTTTTTTTTTTTTTTTCTGCTTTATCTCCCCAAACCCTGCCTGTACACAGTTGTATATCTTAGTTGCATGTCCTTCTAGTTGTGGGATGTGGGACACCGCCTCAACGTGGCCTGATGAGCGGTGCCATGTCCGCGCCCAGGACCCGAACCCTGGGCCGCTGCAGTGGAGCGCGCGAACTTAACCACTCGGCCGCGGAGCCGGCCCCCTGTCCTTTTTAAATCTTTTAGAGGATCATCACCATTCATGTGTATTCTTTGGTAAAATGTCTGTTCAAGTATTTTGCCCCTTTTTAAAAGTAGGTTGTTTGTCTTCTGTTTACTGAGATGTATAAGGGTTCTTTATATATTCTGGATACAAATCTTTTATCAGATACATGTTTTGCAAATATTTTCTTCCAGTCTGTGGCTTCTGTTGATCAACATTATGTTAATAAGCTTTATTCATGTTATTTCATCAGTGTTCATTCATGAGTTGTTTCATGAGTAGTTCCTTCACTCTCGTATTATATGAATATAACATAATTAATTTATCCATTCATCTCTTGATAGACATTAAGGTAGTTTAAAGTTTTTGGCTGCTAGCATAGTGCTGTTATTAACATTCTTGTATCTTTTGGTGAACATATATATGCATTTCTGAATCTATGTGAGACAGTTCCATTAGGGGGTGGAATTGCTAGGTCATAGGGTAAGCATATGTTCAGTTTTGGTAGTTACTGCTGATGGGATTCAGGGCAGGCTGCCCCAAGATGTGCCACTCTGGTATGCGGATTATTAAGAGCTGAAGGCTCAGGAAAAGCATCCAACCTTCCCGTCACAAACTGCCTGAAAGAATTTAACATAGAAGGCCTGTTCAGGAAGGAGCTCTTACCATACGATAGCTACAGTATGATGTAAAATAGGTGTGATAGAAGGACACCTACAAACCCATTTTTTGGCCTAACAAAACCGGTTTAACAAACATTTGCATTCCATCCCTGTGTAAATTGTCCTTCTCCCCTTTGAAGCCCTGAATCACTATCCCCAACGTCCTCCTTGTCTGTAGCTGAAGATACTGAAACAGGCAGCCTTGGCCAGATGGCTGAGTTCCTCAGTTTCTTCTGGGTTTCTCCCATGTGTACATGCTATTAAATTTTGTCTGAT